TATATTAAACATAAAATAGTTTAAAAATTAAATTTAAAAAAAAAAAAAAAAACAATAGAAGATGAAACTCATTTCTTCACCCTACTCAAATTGAAACCCAAACAACCACCAGCCCTGGCATCGCCATTGCTGGTGCCACTCCCACCCACATTCCTACCCCTACGCCTACCTAATTGGTTGAACTTGGGGACTCTGCTTTGATCCTTTCCACTGGGAAATCGAGTCTCGATAAGTCAACACGTGTGGGGAGGTGGATTTCGTGCTCAACTTGAAGAGTTGGGAGAGGTGGATTTAGTGCTCATATCAAATGTGTTCTTCGACGCGATGGAGATGGAGGCCTTGGCGAAGGCTCTGAAGAGGTTATGCGAGAATAAGGCTCTGAGATAGTTGGCGAGCGAAGGGTTTGAAATCGTTAAGTTGGCGACTTGGCTCGGGGATGGTTTTTCTGATAACTTAACACGTGCAAATTCGGAGGTTTTCGCCATTTCTAACTAGTTCCAATTAATTAAGAGAGTGATAGTGAAAAATGGCCCCCAATTTTGCTCTGAAATATAGCCAAATGATTCAGAATATTTGCTTCTGCTAATTGATTTCTAGGTTTTATTTTGTACTTTTTGGACGATATTATTTGTGGTGTTGTTTGAGATTGATGGTGGCGGCGATGGTGGCAGAGGCCGATGGTTTTTCTGGTTTCAATTTGGATGAGATAGGGGTGGGATGGGGGTGAAGAAGTCGCATTTCATTTTCTTTTTCTTTTTTTAATTTAAATTTTAAATTTTTCCTGTGCCGACATTGTTGTTCCTACACGAGGCAATGCTGTGACTCCGATGCCACTGTTTAAATCCGCTCGTAGAGGCGTAATTGCTATCGGAGGCGACACTCACTCCATTACATGGGTTCATCGTTTTAGTGCCACCACAGTGAGTGGTCAATCGCTGGAGAAAAGATAAAAATGGGGAAAAAGAGACAGAGAGAAACGACAGAGAGCACGATTGATTTGGGGATGCATTGATTTAATTAGTAATATATTATTTACTACAATATTAAATCTTAATTATAATCTGAATTTTGAAATATGAAACTTGAAATATGGTTTATGAAATGCAAATTTTAAAAATAGGGTATCGTGTAATTTCCACAAGCTAATTTGTCTTGATGAGTTGTTTGACTTTATAATCAAGTTGATCCAATCAATATAATGGACCAACTCGTAAACCAATCCAAATCGAGTTGGACTAGATCTCAACAAAAGTAAATTAAAATACATTTTTTTTAAATCTAAAAATTAGTAGATAAATTATATGTTCTCTACAAAGTTTTTGATGAGGGTAATTATATTCACATCATAATTTTTATTTTTTGTACCACATTTTAATTGTATTTAAGGTTCTTATTATTATTATTATTATTATTTTTTTCATTATAACACTTATGTCCTTAACAATTTTTGATATCATTCTTCTCATCAAATTTTCTATTAATTATTACATCTTGTATTTGATAATAATTTTACGCTCAAAAGTCAGTTAAAATAACATAAAATAACTAGGGATGGCAACGCGACGGGGTAGGTCCTTTCCACCTCCATTCTGTTGGGTATTTTTGTTCTCTTACCCCATACCCATACCTCGATTAAAGTGGAAAGGGCGGGGTCGGGTCCTTGTCCCATTTATCGCCCCATTTTATTTTTTCTTTTTATTATTATTATTTTTTTATGTTCTTAGTTAGCAAATATTATTACTTTTTTTTTTAAATCAATTTGTTAAAAAATCTTATTTTCTTTTTTTAAAATGATGATAAATCTATTATTTTTGTTTGATAAAAAATTAAATTTGAAATTAACTTTAAACGGGACAGATAGTGGGGCGGGGACTATATTTCTCGTACCTATTTCGGGGCAATGACTCTCATCCCGTACCCGTCCCATTTACCCGGTTGGGTGGGTAATCCCTGCCCCAAACGAGTACCAAGTTGAACAAGTTCTTTAGCCGTATCTAAAAATAACTTATTTTTTCATTTCATTTAAAATAAAATGAAAAGTGTTGAAAAATATTTCTATCTCGTTTTAAAGCATGAAAACAAAATATTTTGATATAAATCATCATCAACGATGAGATGTACTAATTAGTGAAAGGTTGGAGATAAAAATTTGATGAAAAAAGTTAAGAAAATAATTTATACAATGAACAAAATTAAACAATTTAATTATAACTAAAATATGGTGTATCAAATAAAAATTGTGGTTACAATATAAATACAATTTTAAAAATCATATATCAATTTTGTTTTCCTTCTCTGACCAACCCTACATCATGTTATCAACATGTGCCAAAGCAACCCCCACCAAATAAATTTTTTGAAAAAATATTTGAGCATGTCATGTGAGACCTGGCCGGCAAAAGCAAGTACCTTGAATGGCGATGATCCCAAGTGTGGGTCGGCTCAATTCCAAATATCTAATTGAAATCGAATATAATGCATTCATTTTAAAGATTATTTTTTAAATTGACAATATCAACATGGTCAACAACAATTGTGCAAATAGAAATCTTAAATAATCGAAAATACAGCTCGATTGACCTGTAGGCTTGACAGGCACTCCATTAACTTGAATGAATACGACGACATGGCCACTCAATCATGTATTACAAATCAAGTAGGAACAGAGGAACAAATTTTCCCCGCAAGAAAGAGTCTTCTCAGAATAGAGGAGTTTTTCACATAGGTTTTTTCAGATCTCCCTTTCCACTTTTTTCTTGATTTNGGGGGCTGTCAAGGTGGGAATGTTGGTTGTATCGATCAGCACTGGGAAGATCAATGGGCAAATTGTATGCTTAAGGAAATTGAATTATATCATTCATTTAGATAAACGGCCCACAAAAAATCGAATTGTATAATCATTCTTGAAACATTTCCTTAGTAGTATATATACATTTGTCCATTTTCCTCTTTTTGAACTATCATTGTGTTAAATCTTACATAATACAATTTTATGCTACTAAAATCAGGTACTGGAGGCTATGCTTACTTGTTAGAGCCTCTTTGGTGGGCTGGCATGATTACAAGTAAGTAGCTGATATGATTTGCTTCCTGCTGATTCATTCTAGTCACCGAAAGATCCAAATCATACTCATTGTTATGGAGTTGCCTTTGTAACAGTGATTGTTGGAGAGATAGCAAATTTTGTTGCCTATATTTTTGCCCCAGCAGTTCTTGTGACTCCTCTTGGTGCATTGAGCATTATTGTTAGGTACGTTTTCTGAATTCTTTGTGTTAATTATGTGTGATAATGTAAATTCTATAAGAAACTCTTGATGATCTTTTACAGTACTAACCTCTTTGATGGATCTGAATAGTGCTGTTCTAGCACACTTTATGCTGAAGGAACGATTAAGGCAGATGGGTATTCTGGGATGCATGTCGTGCATTGTGGGATCAGTCGTAATTGTAATTCATGCACCTCAGGAACATACACCGAGTTCTGTGCTAGAAATCTGGAATTTGGCTACTGAACCAGGTTCCCATTTCTCGTCTTCAAAAACTTCTTTTGCCTTTGCCAAGAACAAAGGGTCATATCTCATTTCTCACTTCTGATTATTGCTTCCTACAGCTTTTCTGATTTATGTAGCAGTGACATTGTCAATAGTACTTGTTCTGATTATGTACTTCGAGCCCCACTATGGACAGACAAACATAGTGGTTTACTTGGGAATTTGTTCATTGATGGGTTCACTTACGGTAATAGTTTTTCTCAGAAACATTTGTTGTGCTGTTTGTTTTGAGGAAGCACTTCTGTTTCCCATGCTTAGAACATGTTGGATTTAGCTGAAAACGTTTTATGCTATAAATTTTAATATAATTATTATTTATTTGGTTAAGTTGTAAATAACTAATCACTTAAATGCGATCACCTCCATTTTATTATGTTACTGTGCAGGTCATGAGCATAAAGGCTATAGGAATTGCCATAAAGCTTACTCTGGAGGGGATCAGTCAAGCATCATATCCGCAGACGTGGTTTTTTCTTTCGGTTGCAGTAATCTGTGTGATCACACAGTTAAATTATCTTAACAAGGTGCTCATAAACATAAAAACAAACTTTTATTAACTGGGTGTTTTTTGGCTCAATATTAATCATTTCCATCGTGATGAATGTCTTTTCGTTTTTTCCTCTTTCTAACATTTACTGTTCCCTATATCGTTTTCGTTCAGGCGCTTGATACTTTCAATGCAGCAATTGTTTCTCCAATATATTATGTGATGTTCACAACTCTAACCATCATTGCAAGTGCCATAATGTTCAGGGTAATTCCCATTCTCTTGGAATGTACCTTGCACATTCCTGCTTCATTACATGTCCAAGTTATAACTAATGTCTAACGTGTTTGCAGGATTGGTCAGGTCAGAACATGAGCAGCATAATATCTGAAATATGTGGATTCATCACTGTCCTTTCGGGAACAATCATACTTCACGTGACACGAGAGAAGGAAACTGCAACTCTGCCAGGTATAGTCCAAGGTGAAGTTCTATCCCAATATCGATCCATGTCCGACATAAGAAAATTTATGGTATGCCAATATAGCATGTGTTCTGTTAGTTTACAGTCTATAGATATGGTTTACTAATTTAATGACATGTTTGGTAAGGTAGAATAGACTAATGCAGAAAAATACTAAATAAATAAAAGAATATTACAAATTTCATCCATTATATTATCTGTATGGTAATGATAGAGTGCAACTACGACAAAAAGACAATGTCTTTCCTTGGAAAGTTATTAATGTTATATTTAAAAAGCTTTCCTTTTAAAAGATGAGCTTTGCTTCCAATTTTCTTGTTCAATCCCTTAATGCGCCCCAAACAGGCTATTGTTTTGGAAAGACGAGCAGTTTGGTAAAATCATTCATCATTGAGAGCTCATTTTAGGAAATTTGACTCTTTTTTCGTTCCTGATGTATATTTTATCAGCATATGTGAAATTCCTGAGTATGAAAACAGAATTGAGTGGCTGGAGAAGAGCATTATCTTGCCCAGCTACTCTGTATTTATCTTTAATCTTAGCTATGGTGTTATCCATATAGCTAACACCATTCATTGGCTTATTTTTTGCAGGAACCATAATATGGTTCGATGGAGATCCAGCAAAGGGCTTGGAAGATGCACATTATATCACATTGCACTCTCCCGACTTCTTTCATTAATGGAATTTTTGAAGAGATGCAGCAAGACTAGCACTTGAGCTAATATGGCACCCAATGATTTATGATTTTGGGTATATAAGTTTCTCAAAAGAATAATGCTATCTAGCACCATTAATGTTAGATCACTGGTCTAAATGTCATAACGTGATAGACTCAATTAAAGGTGGAATTATTTGATTCATTAATTGTGCCTATCATTTAATGCCGCTAAGACCTGTGTTGTAACATTAGTAGTGTTAAATGTATTACTCTTCGCAAAAAGATTGTGTGGCTGTCAGGCCTTGGTAGTCCACCGCTTCCTCCATGCAACTCTTGCTTAGATGTTCGGGTACAAGGGATGTTTAAATTAAGGATGCATTTTCGAGTTGGATTTATGGATCATCACAAGTAGGGTTTACTTCAGATTTTGTTGATTGGTAGTTGTACATATTTGCCCTTATTTTCATTTCTTAAAGTTCACAGTTGTATGAATATTGGTTTCATTTTTTCTCATTGTAGTTCTGAGACTGCAGTATTTTTCATTCTTTAGGAAAGGTTATTTACAATTGCTCTAGTGATCAGTACAGAAATGGTTCACAGACAATGCCAACCTTTTCTGAAGACATTTATGTTGTCACAAAGAGATCAGTTTTGTAATCGTATGCTCCATGTTAGATGTTTTTGTGATCAATACTTTCCTTTTCTATTATTTTGTTTTTTTGTTTTACTTTTTGGTCGTTGTTGAAATAGCGACATGGCATACAATATTGGGAGCTTGCTATGAAATCTCTTAAGTCGAGAGGGGTTTGATCATTGACTCATTGTTACGTCCAGAGACCATAGAAATGGCGAGTAAAATAAACAATCAACATATCAAAAGTGAAGAAGTGTAGAAAATAAAGAAGTGACTTTCTGGTTGAAA